AAGATGTGTTTTAATCTCGTCACTATCTCAAAACTAAGTAAAAATCACGACTTGAAATTATATTTTAAAACTAAGGATATAACCATAATTTCATTTAACTTGAATTAGAAAAACAAATAATTTTGAGATAAAATCCTAGAGCAATGATGAGCAAAGCAATCAAAAACATAAACTTTACATCAGATAACCATAAGCTAAATTTTGGAATTTATCTGTTAACTGACGAATTAACCCCAGACCCAATTTAATTTAATTAATATTTTATTTGATTTACCAATAAGTGGCTGACCCGTTTTTTGGAACCTAGATTAGGGTGCTGGTACCGTTGTGCGAACCCCTGGCAATTTACCTTCTCTAATCTCTAGTATGTAATTCTCCTAATTTGCAGCAACGCCTTCAACATTGCCTTGACTCTTTAAAGCCTTTCTATGTTCAACAACTTGTAAAGAGTTAATGAAATCGTGGCAAGATGCTTAGAATTCTCCGAGGAAGAAAGTTTTTGCTCAAACTTTTCTGGAAAACTAACTAGAACTTTTCAAATTTTTTGCCTTCATTTCTAGAAACGGCTTCAACAGATGCCCTCCTCTCTGGCTTTAATTGGTGATATTAGACACACAGCATTGGAACGGTAGGGCTTTAGTGGAGAAGAATGAGATACAAAATCTTGAGTAATTCTAGAATAAATCCATCGCCCTGATTCAATACACTCGCAATCTTCACTCATTTCAAACCCAATCCATTTTTTAATGAAAAGGTCAAGCAAAACCCATTCAAGTTTCAGCATACACGAACACCAGTCTATAGTTCTCATTGTCACCCGTGATTTTATTTTTGCTTAGCATTCATACATATTCATAAGAGTACAATTGACTGAAAGGAACAAACAGATTTCCCATTTTAACATTTCAGCATTAGCTCATGCTTGAGTTTTGGAATAAATTATTATATAGTATATAGTATATTATTTTTCTTTATTTCCCCAACCTCCCAAATCTATTGTCTTATACACACAATTTATGAATATTGCAGCTGAATAGATCCACTGATTCGTCAAATCAGCATCAATTCTTCAAAGATATTCATTGCAGAAGCTGGCAATCCCAAAAGCACGTTTACGCTTTTCCTATCTGTCTTGTGAGGAAGGAAGAGAATTACCTCCTTCTCTGGTAAAGCCACAGGTCCTGATGAAACAGGTTCCCCCCATCCAAAATCTATGGTGTGGAATGATAGCCTAGACCAAGTGGTGATCAGCAGAGTTGCAGCAAGAGAAGGCCTTGCTCTTGTCACCTCGAAATAGTCTATGGCCGATCTCATGTAGCTATCCGTAGCCATCTTCACAGCCTCTTGAACTAATCCCACAGAAAATGACAGCGGCTTCTCCAGCAACTCACCTGCAGTGCATAGTGAATTTGTTAAGACAATCCCATTTCCAACGTACCCTTCAGGCAAAGGTGGGACAAATCTTGGTCTTCCATCAACAGCAAAGAGGAGTTTTGTTTGTTGGTCAGGCAGCATCCTTAGTGCTTGACATCGAGCCGTCCAGACAAAGGCGGAGAGCGCTTCGAAGGTAGTGCACTTGGACAGAACACCGTCTTCCATGGCGTCCTTCTTGAGTTGTGCAAGCTTGTCTTGGTCGAAGCAGAAACATTTGAAGAGCATTTCTTCTTCATAAAGTTCGGTGGTATTTGATATGTCTTGGATCTCAGAAAATTCATGGTGCGGAAACTCTATCTTGGGTGGATTGCGTGATTTTAGTATGATTCTGTCTAAAAATGGAGTAACTGTCAAGGGCAAGCCCCTGGCTGTTTCACCCCACCCATTCATAAATTCCATTGCACCAATTCCGTCCAGAATGCAATGGCTCATCAATAGCCCGATTGAAAATCCTCCACATTTGAATTTCGTTACCTGAAAGGCAAGATATATATAAACCTGAGAAGCCGTTTCTATATTTTTTATATATGATACAAGATTAGTGTTATAAATATTTGCAAACCGCTTTGCTTACTTAGCAAGACAAGAACAAAACACCGTCAAGTAGCTGAACTTTTTGCTCAATCAAGTACTTCTCTAGTTCAAGTGATGGATTCTATCTCTAGTGTATCTAGCACTGCAAGTGCATAGATAATGTTATTTTACGTACAAGTGACAAGCCTATACAAAATATAAATCCCATGTATGAACTTTCGAATGAAATTCAATTTACAAAATAACTGTAACAATTAAAAAAAAAAAAAAAAGACTAGTTCTAGATGAAAGACTTTAATACTCTATCAAAATTGGTCGGTCTAGAAAATTTCTTAGTTTCCCAATACACTTTGTCTTCCATAGGTGTAGCCATTTTTAAGAAATATATACTTAAAACTTTCAGAGACTTCTTACCAACCTTATATTACAAAATACTCATCAGCAATACATTGGGGGATCTTTTATGTATAAAATTTTCTATGTCTATATTCTTATTAGAAAAAGCTTCCATGTCTAAGGATGCAAGATAGACCACAAACTATATGACTAAAACCAAAATTAATGGTCAGGGAATCTCCAAACCTGAGCAGCCAATAGCGGCATCTGAAGTATATTCTGAACCCCAGGAGTTTCATAAACCAGCTTCCCAAGAGTGACAGGATCAAGCTTTGTTTTGTCTCCTATTTCCTCTATCCCACAATCTGCTTCAGCCTCAATAAACACAGCACCTTCCCCTGTACAATCCCCTATCAGCTTCCCTTCTGTGCTGATTGTAAGTCTTCCGGATAGTGGGTAGTAGTGAACAAGTAGCTTTGA